CTGATTCAGGGCACTTTCCCGCTCCTTGCCCCCTTCTTAGCCTGGGTTTCAACTTCCCAGTCGTGTAAGTAGGAAAGACATGCTCTTCACAGCGGCAGAGTGATCCTTATTCACGCAGATTTCGAACGTGCCCTTCTCCTGTTTGCCCATCTGATGGGTTGCCCAACATCAAAGGGGGAAAAACTACCCTTTAGTCAGAAATGAACATCAATTACCCCTTCTCCTCCAAAGGGGAAAAAACAAAAAAGGCAAACTCATTCTGTCCCCTCCATATATTGCTAGCTGGTCCTTGCACTCCACAGAGGCTTTGAACCGTGGCTCTCTAGAAACCAGTTATCACATTGTTCTCTCACGGCTGCAGCGCCCCTAGAACAGCCCCCTTCTGCTCACACAGATTGCTTCGCTCGGCAGCGTGTGTTAGGTTCCACCCACGGATGCAAACACGTGCAGGAGCCCTGGTTTCTCAGGCCCGTGGTCCCTGATGCGGGAGCTTGTGCACCTGCTGACGAGCGCTCAGCTGTCACACCCCCGCGTGGATTTTCTCTGCTCCTCACTCACCTGCGCTGCCAAAGGGAACGGGAAGGAAGCCGCCCAGGCTGTGCACCAAGGTGGCCGGGCGGTCCTGGGTGACAGTCACACCCCCCTTCGTGGACCCTCTTAATGAGTTCGGTTCGTTTCTTTCTGAGCAAGCTTGTTAAAAGCCAGCGCGGCTTGGTACGCTAATGAGCTTCCCTTTCCTTTTCTGCCTTCCAAGTTTCTAGGGGGACTCTTCCCCCGAATCAAATGCTAAGTGGGTTAGGCACTTTCTTATTTTAGTCTTGAGACATTTCTTGCTCCAGGAAAGAGTAAAGGTTTATTTTACTTCAAAGATCAGCCCTTCACGTTACTCAAATCAGCAAGACTTTTCCTGGCTGGGTGGCGGGGGTGGGGTCTGGGGAGAGAAGGAAGGGAAAAAAGCAAGAAAAGACAACCTCCCAAATATCAATACCCTTTTTTTTTTTTTGCATGTGGGAATTATCACCAACCACTATAGATATGAACAATGTGGTCTAGCACTGCTTTATTTATCGCTGTGGCAATGAAAATAACTTGGTACGCAGCCAGTTATTTTTAAGAGGTGGTAGCACAGTGTTTCTTTGAATGTCAAAACCCAGAAATAGAGCCTTTAAGAATTTCTTCCATCTGCCAGACTGGATGTTGGCTGGGCAGAGATTTCAACAGCACACGTGATGGAATCGGCCTCCTGGCCCGTATGTAGAACACAAGCCCGTGAAACCCGCCGCCCCCGTGTGGCGTGCAGCTGGCCGAATGCAGCCCGGCTCCACTTACCTGGTTGGCAGCCAGAGGGAGAACTCCCGGCTGGGTGGCAGGTCTGACCCCGGGGTCAATGGTGACATATACAGGAAGGAGCACGACCAGCCCTGGGAGTGACAGCCCGTTAACTGGATGAACCCTGCAGAGGAGGTTGATTGGGAAGGCCTTTCAACAGCACTTTGCTCACTTTAGGAACTCCTCCCAGGAATACATAGGAGGCGAAGTCTGGGGTGTTGGTTTTGTGGTTTCAAATGTCTGGGTTGAAATGGCTTGAAAAGGAAGTGGGCTCGTGAAGACTTCACTTTGAGAAGAGATCCAAAGACGATTGAGGTGCAGCCCCCAACCCAAGGGGCTCCAAGGTTTGTACAGGAGGCAGATGAGTCATTAGAACTAGAAAAATGAACACCCTGATGGCTGGGAGTTTGCTCTCCCAAGAGGCGACTAAATCTCTCTACCAATTCCCCTTCTGTTACCAAGCCTAGTCGGGGAGAGAGCCCTGCCTGGGAGTTCGATGTGGCCCAAGGTCAAGAACATGTCAGTGTCATGGCTTCTGCTGGGTCGTGTAGTGGATGCCACGGGGTGGACAGATGACTGTTGGGAACGACACTGGGGAAGGCCCAGTTCTTTCCTCCCCACAGTTTAGCTTCTACCTTATGTCTCAAATTTCAGAAAAGTCTGTTACATACCCCATTCGTGTGATTGAATTGTGGAGACTTTAGGGACATCGGCCCTCTGCTGAAGTCAGCTTGGTGGCAGCACTTTCATATTGACGAAGGACAGTGGCCCAAGGACGGCAGTCAGCCCCGTGCCCCATACACACTTTCCCCAGGTTACTGGGGGAAGGTGAGGCTTGAAGAGAAGGTCATGAAATACTTGGGTCACATCACAAATACTCCTTCTCTCCCTGGGAGTCCCATAAAAGTACCCCTGTCTGCTCACCAGCACAGTTGTCCGAGCCACCCCACCTGGTAGCATCTCCTGATTTCTCCTTTGCTGCCCTCGCTCCTAGCATTGCTGTATTTGCCGTCCTCGTCAAGGGCACGCTGCTGAAGTATGTGTCAAAGTGCGCTGCCTCCCACAAATGCTGAGCTGCCCACTGCTGCTGCTGCCAGCACCCAGCACACAGAGAACTGACCCCCTGCTCCCCGTGTCCCTCAGGGGTTTCAGCAAACAGCTCCTTTGGTTTGCTGACTCTTTAGAAACCCTCTCTCCCGAGTGCTCAGGGGAAGCCAGGGGAGCTGAGGAAACCAGTGTGGAAACTGACATGGAAACTGCCCCTGTGGACTGCAATCAGAGAGGCAGGGGTTGTGAGTTCTTAGAAGAGTTCCTCTTCTCATGCACTGGCCTCAAGATGAAAGTTTAACTCCTTAATACAGGCTCCCCAAATTATCCATGACATGATCTAAATTCCACCTTCTTGTCCATCCCCATCTCTCACCACCCCCTTTAGTTTTCCTGTGGTCCCCACACTTGCCTGCTCTTGTTAATAGAAGCCTGTGTACATACTATTATCTCAGCCTGGAGACCATTCCCTAAGCTTCACTCACTTTTCAGAATCCTACTCATCGCGCTGGATTCAGCCATGGCAGTACTTTCTCCAGGAAGCTACCCAGGTCCACTCCCAACGCCTGAGAAAACTGTGCTCCCAGGGCACCCTGTCCTACCATCAATCATGAACCCTGTAATGTCTGTTGACCTCTCCATCTCCCCTCAAGTTGTGCCTTAAATATCAATGCCATGGCCTGAGCTGCAGAACTCATTTCAGCAGTTCAAAGGTAACAGGCCAAGGCCTCTGGGAGCCCCTCAGCCTTTCTCTCATGCTTTTTACCTCATGGTCACAGAATAGCTGCTGCTGCCCAATATGTTCAAGCATCTCTTCATATCACCAATTATCCAGTCAGTCTCTAATTTTCTTGATCATTTTTATTGCTTTATTTGAATCAGATTCATATCACATTTGGCTATTTTTAACAATATTATATACATTAAGCTCCAAATGTCCTTTTATGAGATTAAAAATAAATTCTTATTTGTTTGAGCTGGTCATACTGGAGTTTTATGTTCTTTGCAGCCAAACTGTGATACAGTCCACAATTTCTAAAAATTAAAATTTATTTTCTCTCATTAGCAAATTAACACACCCTGCTTATAGAAAAATCTTAATATAGAATAGTAGAAATAAGGAAAAGGAAATAAGAGTCCCATCACTGAAATACTGGTAACATTTTGACATATTTTCTTCCCGTGTTGTTTGAATAGTTGTGATAACACAGTAGTAACAAATTTGTTTCCTTTTATTGTTTATCATTGTTAAAAAGCATTTTGGGGGTGATAGAAATATTCTAAGATTGATTTTGGTGATTGTTGTACAACTCTATGAACATACTAAAAATCGTTGGATTATACATCCTAACTAGGTGAAATATATGACATGTGAATTATATCCCAATGAAGCTGTTATAAAAAATTTTAAATAAGCATATCTTTTATGATGAATTCAATGTTAACATTTTTAATTAATGCATAATCATCTCTCAAGAGGCTTTACTCCAATTTATTAAACTATTCTCCTGTTGTTCAATATTTGGGTTGGTTCTACATTTTGGCTATCATAAAATTTCTAGTCAAATTCTCTGTGCTTAAGGGTTCTTTTTATCTAGAATTAGTTCCTCCCAGAAGTAAAAATGTTGTGCCAGAGTATAACATTACTTAAGCATTTATCAAGCCTATATTGGAGGCTTATAACCAGTTATGTATGGACCATACTAAGTACTCTTATATGCATTATTTCTTCAAATTCTTCATCACCCTAAGACAGTGGTCGGCAAACTCATTAGTCAACAGAGCCAAATATCAACAGTACAATGATTGAAATTTCTTTTGAGAGCCAAATTTTTTAAACTTAAACTATATAGGTAGGTACATTGTTATTAACTTAATTAGGGTACTCCTAAGGCTTAGGAAGAGCCACACTCAAGGGGCCAGAGAGCCGCATGTGGCTCTCGAGCCGCAGTTTGCCGACCACGGCCCTAAGAGGTCTATGCTACCTCTAGTTTCAGAAGTTGAAACTGAAGCTCAGAGAAGACAACCAACTCATCCAAGTTCACAGCGTCAATATACAGAGGAGCCAGGGACCTACCCAGCTCTGTCTGGTCCCAGAGGCCATGATCACTCCCTCATCAGGCCTTCATGTGTTCAAACCTTGCTAGGTTTCAATGGTGAAAATGCTGTCATTTTTCTAAATTGTTTTTGGGTGACGTTGGATATTTCCTTGTGTTTGCCACATCAGATGCACTCTTTTTTTGTTAATTACCTGTTGCGGCCTTTCCCGTAGTGGACTATACAATTTGAAGAGTGAATAGAGTGAATAACATGTAATCAATGGCTGGTTACCCTCATTAAAAAGAAAGATGCAGGCTCAGCTTCCTTTTGGGAAATGCACTTCAGTGTAGAAGCACCTTTAATGATGGCCGGCATGCCTCATAGAAGTCCCTTTGATTCAGCTCTCGTTCTTCCCCTTGTTCCTTCCACCTGGCTGAGCCAGGGTACAGAACGGTGAGAGTACACAGTGCACAGTGCACGGGAAGACTACCTGGCTACAGGGCTGGCCCTCCCCCTTCAGAGCAGTCCCATTCTTCCTTGAAGCAGGAGGGCTTGAGGCAATCATTGCTCTGCTCCAAAAGCACTTAACCAAAGAGCGGCTTCTTTTCCACGGTTATGTAGACAAATACCACAATGATGAAGATGCCAAACACTGCAAGCGTCAAGCCCACTGGAAACCGTTCTAGGTTCCTGCTCCCAGCACTCCCGTTTACTGTGCAGTAGGCCTTCTCTTTGGTGTTATTCCATTCTCTGAATCTGGGGTATGGTGCTCCTGAGGCCCACCTGTGAAAACATTAGTGGTTCTTAGGGTTGAGTACAGGATGAACCAGCACCACCCCCCTCCCCCGAACGTGTGTGGCCTTGGAGGTCAAAGGAGCAACCCTGTGGGGCTTCAGGGAGCAGGCCTCTATCATGAAAAACCTAGGCTAATTTTAACAAGCGGTGTTAACAGGGTATCATGAGGATGTGAGGTCTCAAATGTCCCACATTTCTTTATGTCTGTCAATGCCGGCGCGAGGCCTGGCCCGGGGACTTACAGATCCCCTGGTCCCTACTGGGGAGCCGTAAAAGCTGTAAAAGCCGAATGGGGGACACCAGTCCACAGTCCTTTCTCCCCAGGCTAAACCCAGCCTTTCAGGGTGCAGATGGGAAGTGCTTTTGAAATGTGTTTATTTTGCATTTCAAAGAGCAAGAGGATGCTTTCTGAAACCTTTCAGAGAGTCTTACTTTTCACTGGTTTAATTTGGAAAGTGGCTGAAGTTTATTCAGAAGTCAGGGAACTTTCCAGAAAGCTTTACTTTCTGACTAATAAAATGGCCAATCTTGAGCTTTTATTTCAACTACCTGCTCTCTCTCTCTCTCTCTCTCTCTCTCTCTCTCTTTTTTCTTTCCCCATTTTCTAAGACACAAAGAAAAAATGTCTACCGATCCAGAACCTCAGGTTCTGGTCTCAGTGCATTGTGACTTTGCGCATCCCCCTCAGCCCGTCTGGCCTCTAAACCTAAGTGGTGAGCTAGAGACTATGTACGGCCCCTTGACCTTTGAAATGAGATATTATGAATCTTTCTTCTCTCTCAACAGATTCTTTTTCAGACTCAAACCCTTCCCCAAAGTCTGAATAACAGTTTTTTTCAGGAGTTACATACGTCAGTAATATCTCCTCAGGTGCTAAGAAAAGTATTACCTTATTTTCTCAGCGTGCTTATGATGCGGACAGTAGATATGTTGGGGTTTTGGTGTAGAGGTGAAAGCCTTGGGTCTCTAATGAACAGAAAGAAAATATCAAGAAGAACTTATTTATCAGAAAGATAATACAAATTATCAAGAAGAGCCCTCACAGTTTCCAATGTCTTGTACAAAGGGCCTTATTTTTTGTTCTAGAAAATAATCATGTCCTGGCCAGGTGGCTCAATCGGTTGGAGCATCATCCGGTCCATCAAAAGGTTGTGGGTTTGATCCCGGATCAAGGCACATACCAGGTTTCAGATTCCATCCCTGCTCGGGGTGCTTATAGGAGGCAACCAATCAATGTTTCTCTCTCACATTGTTGTTTTTCGCTCTCTCTAGAATCAATAAAACATATCCTCAGGCAAGGATTTAAAAAAGTTAATATCTTTTTAAAAAATTGTATAATCTAGGGCAGGGATGGCGAACCTTTTGAGCTCGGCGTGTCAGCATTTTGAAAAACTCTAACTTAACTCTGGTGCTGTGTCACATATAGAAATTTTTTGATATTTGCAACCATAGTAAAACAAAGACTTATATTTTTGATATTTACTTTATATATTTAAATGCCATTTAACAAAGAAAAATCAACCAAAAAAATGAGTTCGCGTGTCAGTGACTCACACATGAACCTGTGTCATAGGTTCGCCATCACTGATCTAGGGACTGATAAAGTTTTTGGTACATCAGGTAGTTTAGTACTTCATAATATAAAATATTTTGAAAGGAGAGGGGGAGACAGAGAAACACCGACAAGAGAGAAAGGTTGATAGGCTGCCTCCTGCACACACCCCCACCGGGAATAGAGCCCGAAACCCTGGTTATGTGCCCTGACTGGGAACTGAAGTGGCAACCTTTTGGTGCACGGAATGACACCCAACCAACTGAGCCATGCAAGTGAGGGCTCATGAAGTAATATTTTACATCAGTGACTCACACATGAACAATAGACACACGAGTGTCAAGGGTCACTTGACACAAGAAGCATTCTGTTCTTAAATATCATCTTTCTATTTTGCACTTTTATTTGTACTTTTATTGCTTGGAGCTTTTAAAAAATGTTTTTATTTATTTTAGAGAGAGAAGAAGGGAGAGGGATAGAGAGATAGAAACATTGCTGAGAGAGAAACATTAATCAGCTGCCTCCTGCACAGCCCCCCACTGGGGATCGAGCCTACAACCCCAGCATGTGCCCTGACCAGGAATCGAACTGGTGACCTCCTGGTGCATGGGTCAACGCTCAACCAGAATCACACCGACCAGGTGCTCGGAGCCTTTTTAATAAGCATGCAGCATTTTTATACAAAGAATAAAGTTATTTTTTTTTAAAGTTGGCTATGAACAAGGACTAGGAAATAATTTAGGAAAATGAAATGTTCTGTATGAGGGATAGAAGTAAGGACAATCATGTTTTCTTTTCCTTTTCCAAAAATTTCTTTGATGTTGTCATTTTTTCAATAAAGTAAAAATGCATAGTTCTCTATGCTTGTTTCCTCTCTGTGAAATAAAGTTGTAAAGATTAAGTGACTTCATCTATGCAAAATGATTAAAACATTTCCTGATATATAGTAAGCACTTAATGAAAGCACTTAGTGCTAATGATAATTATTGTTAATTTCGTGTTCCATTTTTCCTCAACTGCCTGGTTGTCCTTGATTGTCTATTCAGACTTCACTAGAGGCCCGATGCCTCGGCCCTCTCAGTCCTGGCTTTGTCTGGAAGGTCATCCGGATGGTCGTTCTGCTGTTCGGTCTAATCAGCATATTAGCTCTTTATTATGTAGGATATTCAGGCCTTATCATCCTCAAGTGTCTGCAATGTCCAAGAATGTGAAGCTGTGGTGTCAGATGATGTTGCTAACCACCATTTACCAGGTGCCAGGCCCCGTTAACCCACTAACTCACCGAGGCCTCCTGGACCACCCTCCCCTCATCTGGTAGGCACTGTCATTGCTCCATATGGGAGATGATGAGTCTTGAGGCACAGAAAGCTTAAGTAACTAGCCGAGGGTTACACAGTATAATCCTTCAATTTCTAAAAATAATTTCCCTCCTGCAAGAAGTCTTCTTTCTTATTCTCATTCACTCAGATCAGTTGTCTAGTCTATATTTCCTCAGCCCTAATACACATGTTGTCTTTAATCAAGGCATGATATCTACCATGTAGGGGCATTGGTAAGTTGGTGTTTACCCCCCTTCCCGGGGACCCAGCCCCCCTGAACATGAGAGGAGCCTCTGACACCTCCCATGCTGCCAGCGGCCTCACACAACAGCAGGCCATGGACAAGGGAGTTGGGGACTGGAGCATTCCCCAGTATTCTCTTGAAATCATTACTCATCAAAAAATGTACCTGGTTTTTGAAAAAGGATCTACTCTGACTAAAATGATTAGTATTTACTCATAAATAAATACAAGTTTGCTTGCATTATGCAAGATGTGTATTTTACAGTGTGGACCCAAACCTGGCCTGAAATGTCATAGGCTGGCACCTTCAATTGTGGGCAATGAAAGAAGGGGTGCTGAGTGCTGAGGCCCCCACCCCTCCTTCCTCTTATTCTTCCAGGACTTCTTACTGTTGGAGCTTAGGGAGCCAGGAGGCAGTGATGCTCCCGGGAGGTGGGGATGAAATTGTCTTCAAGCTGAAATGTGTTACATTTTTCAATCACTCTCCCTCACTAATGCAATTGTTGAAGAAAGGCCTGTACTTAGAACCAGACATTTTTACAAATGACTTGGCAAACTGGCAGTTATGACCTTCTTACAAGTGGGAAAAAAACTCAATTTAGAGATCTTTAATATTGAGTTAACCCCAAATCCCTTTATTGACTAAAACTGATTAAGTTAATAAAGATCTTGCAATAATTTCACTCTATTGTTTTTACCTCAACCTTGATTTAATAAAGCTCTAATTTAAAACATTGTGTTCTTTTAACCTAAATAATAATTTTGAATTAATTAAAAGCCTTTTAAAATAATCTGCACTACATTAACAAAAGAAAGGTTAAAAACTTTGTGATCATCTGCATTCCTGCTTTAAAATATCTTCTTGCAAACCAGTAATGGAATGGGAACTTCCTTAACTTGATACAAGGTCTCTCCCAAAACCTACACCAAAAATTACACTCAAAGGTAAAATATTAAGCCTGGCTGGCATGACTCAGTGGTTGAGCATTGATCTATAAACCAGAAGGTTAGGGTTTGATTCCCAGTCAAGGCACCTGCCTAGGTTGCAGGCTTGATCCCCAGTGTGGGGGCGTGCAGGAGGCAGCCGATCAATGAGTCTCATCACTGATGTTTCTATCTCTCTCTCTCTCCTTCTCCCTTCCTCTCTAAAATCAATTAAACATATTTTTAAAAAGAGGTAAAATGTTAAAAGCATTTTCTTTAAAATCAGAACTAAGGAAAGTATTCCTATACTATTATCACTTACATAATATTGTAATAAAAAGGTCTTAGAGGCACAGGTAAACAAAAAGAAATTAAAGGTATACAAATTAAACTAAAAAGAATCTGCAGGAAAATTATTATAATTTCTAAGAGTTCATTGTTATAAGACAAAAGGTACTGACAAAAGTCAACTGCAATTCCATATACCATCAACAAACCATTTAAAGCATATTTTTTTCAAAGATACTGTTCCCAACAAAAGAATTCTTCTTATTTCCAACAAAATTTGGCAACAAACATTAAAAGCCTACCTAGTAATAAAGCTGACAAAAGATGAGCATGATCTTTATTGAGAAAACAATAAGAATCTTACTGAAGGACATTAAAGAAAATTTCAATGAATGGAAAGATGTAACATGTTCATGAGCAAGAAGACTCAACAGAGTAAAGATTCAGCTTTTTCCAGATTAATTTATAAAGTTAGCAAAATTTCTATCTAAATCACATTCTGAACTTTTCATGGAACTTGATAAGCTTATTCTAAAATTTATTTGCAAGAATTAAGGGACAAGTAAAATCCACCAACCAATTTAAACCAACAAGGTGAGAGGGGTTGCTCTGGTAATGAAGACATTCTTCTATGAGCGCAAGCTGGACACATTGATCAGAAT